CAGATAGGAAAGATAGCTCCAATGAAGCAGAAAGAAGCATCGGGTGTGATAAGGATGTGTACGTGTTGATTCCACCGTAGCATTACCAAAGCGCATCCCCTTTTGATAGTACGGTGACTCCTACGAAACTAGACCACGAGCAGAGAAACGAAGGAGCTACACCGTCTTGAATAAAACACCGAGGGGAGGTAATCGTCTCGTGCCAAAGGATGAATCTCTAAAAGAACTCAACGCACACGATTAGTCCGCAAAAGCATTGTCATCAATCACCAAAACATCTTGGGGATAAGTATGCCCTTACACCTCCGTCCCAAAATAAGTGTCTCAGACACTTATTTCGGGACGGAGGGAGTAATAGTTACTCCCTCCGTTCCTAAATATAAGTCTTCATAGAGATTCCACTATGGATCACATACGGATGTATATAGATGCATTTTAGAGTGTAGATTCACTCATTTTGCTTCGTATGTAGTTCGTAGTGAAATCTCTACAAAGACTTATATTTAGGAACGGATGGAGTATCATAGATCATAGATGGTGCAATGTTGTTCTGGTACATTTTTTTAGTTTGGCATTGGTGAATAAGATGCAATGAAAATTTACAAGGATAAGTACAAATCCAGAGCCTCGGAGGTGGTAGTATATAGCTGCATCTACCAACTTGCACATAGGACACCTATGGTCTATGGCAGTTGGTTGATGCTTTGGATGAATTTACTGGTGGTGTGGTCTTTGGTTAGTCACTAGTGTTCAAGTTGATATCTCGAGTTTGTGAAGATGAGCAGAAGAGCCAGATATGGGTTGCGGAGGATGGCACTATGGAGAAATATAACGCTCGTTTGAGGTTGTCCTCCTACTCTGAAACAATCCACAATTAGCTGGCAAAAACTTCAACATCCTCGGAAGAGAATCGGCACAAACACATTATAAATAGCGATGCCAGCATACAAATAGACCAATTTAAGGGCTCCTTTGATTCAAAGGAATTGCATACAGGTTTTATAGGATTGGATCCTATAGAAAAATGTCCTATCTTTGTACTACTTTCTATAGGAAATCTAGCAATCACTAGAACCTCTTTCTAGAATTTCTTTGATGGAATCAAAAGAATTTTGGTGCTGAGCTGGCGGTTTCTTGGAGAGACAGTGAGAGTTTACTCTTTCCTGTGGTTTTCTTTGGGGTATGGAGTTAATTCAAGTGTTTATTACCTAGAGTAGAACAAAAGATGTGTTCAATTTGAGTTATTATGGATGTTTTGGGTTATTTCAAGTTAGTAGTACTAAGAAAAGATCGATTTATTGTCTCTTGCAGCTGTCATTATACTACCACTGCTAGCATTAATTATTGAAGGGTTTCTATTTCGGTTTAGGGCTATTTCAAGCGATAAATCACGAGTGGACATGCAGCCACGCGAGGACGAAATCAAAACCGTCCATTCCCATGTGATTCGTGCAACTTTAATACATCAAGTGCGTATATTAAATTTCATCCACGGTATACAAATGGTATAGCTCGCTCATTACCTCTGACCTTGCCAGGAGATGGCCCACAAGTCAGCCTCATGCATTGAAACAACATTGAATGGCTCTTATCCATCCATGCAAACTCATGACAGGAGAATGCCCTGCGTACAAGCCAACCACCAAAAACACCTTCGGCTTAACCCATTTGTTTAATGAGCCACAAATTAATTCTGTTGTAAACGGATGGCAGGACATCAAGGCACCCAACATCTTTTAAATGCAACACGCGGGCCATAACATGCAGGCCATCCCTGGTCCAACCCACAGCTCCTTTTCTCATTCATCCTGCTTCTCTAGTTCTTGCATTCTAGAGCCTAGAACTCATCCATAGAGATATGGAGCTCTTTTGGAAGAAAAAAATAAAGATGTAGAATTGTAGTTGTACAGATGTGTCACTCAATGCCTAAGAGTACTTCACCGGCTCGTCCAACAACAATACTTTATGCTCATGTCCCAGGTTCATTTATGAAAAGGATTAACATGGTAGAGCAAAGCATGAAAAAACCATGTTAGAACACATTCAAGCCTGGAGTGGTAGATGACAGGATAAAACATGAAATCTCCATTGATGTGGTATATGTACTAGATGTAATATGTAATACATTTAACTCGGCAGATGTATAAACACATCGAACAACATATCCATCAACGGAAAAAAAATATTGCAAGCCTCATACGTAGAAACAACAATTCAAGTAAAAACAATTGAGCCCAAAACACTGCACCACATCACTTGTATTTACAGTTCAGTACAACACCACGTTATGAGGATCTGCACATTCACTCGAATTGGCAGAGTAGCAATAAAAGACACCACCATTAAAAACGCATTTAAGATGCCTAGCTCAACCCACATGTATCACAGACGCGTATCTCCAAATTAACCAACGGTATCATTTTGGTATTCAATAATTTGCTATATTAAATACTAATCTCATAGCACATATGAACAACCGAGATTTCATCCTCACGTAGCACCATGTCCCAAAAATCCGCGTCCCTATTTCAAGTTACTACTAAGATCGATTTATTGTCTCTTCCAACTCCCATTATGCTACTAGCAGCATTGTTTCTATTTCATAATTGTGCCTTGAAATTCCAATGTTATTTGTGAAAAATGTTGCTTTGCTGAAACACATAAGTTTATTTACATAATTCAGATCTTTTTTTGGTCACAGTCAAGTTTTTATTGTTTAGTAAATCAACAAAACCATATCATGCAATCACAAATTTAGTACAAAATCATTGTTTTCTTAGGGGTGATATAAATGTTCTCATCGTTCTATATTAGTTGTTGATGATTTAGTACAACTTGATTTAGCACAAAGACGTACTAAATCAGCGAGAACTAATATGGAACGTAGGGAGTAAGTTTTTCTTTTGTATTGGAAAAATTTCCTAAGCTACCAAACAAGGCCTAAAGAAGTTTTCTGGATCGTCATGTTTTTCTGAGTTGATTGACATTGTCTGCGAGAAACGTTACTGGTTCCATGGATGTACTATGTAATAAGAGTTATAATAGATCACAGATGGTGCAATTCTGTTGCAGTACATTTTTTAAGTTTGGCATTAGTGAATGAGATGCAATGAAAATTTACAAGGATATGTACAAATTTAGAGCCTCGGAGGTGGTAGTATATAGCTGCATCTACCATCTTGCACATAGGACACCTATGGTCTATGGACAGTTGGTTGATGCTCTGGATGAATTTACTGGCGTTGTGGTCTTTGGTTAGTCACTAGTGTTCAAGTTGATATCTCGAGTTTGTGAAGATGAGAAATATAACGCTCGTTTGAGGATGTCCTCCTACTCCGACACAATCCACAATTAGCTGACAAAAGCTTCCAACATCCTCCAAAGAGAATCGGCACAAACACATTACAAATAGAGATGCCAGCATACAAATAGAACAATTTAAGGGCTCCTTTGATTCCAAAGGAATTGCATACAAGTTTTATAGGATTGGATCCTATAGAAAAATTTCCTATCTTTGTACTACTCCCTCCATCCGGAAAAACTTGTCCCTCAAATGGATGTATCTAGCACCAAGTTAGTGCTAGATACATCCATTTGACAAACAAGCTTGGGACAAGTTTTTCCGGACGGAGGGAGTACTTTCCATAGGAAATCTACTAGCAATCACTACACCTCTTTTTAGAATTTCTTTCAGGGAATCAAAAGAATTTTGGTGCATACAAAATCATGTAGGACTGGAGTGGGTAAGACATTGCAATCCCCTATCCTATGTACTCTCACAACACAGAACTGTGTGTCAGGAACAAGAGATTCTTATCAGTGCGCAACCTTGTGACGTTAACAATTGACAAATCAAGATATTAGGTTTCTGCCAGAAATGGATGCTGTAACGGGGGTATGGGGTGCAAGTTCACACCGTGGCAGGGCTTTCTACAGCAATACGTCTTCTGAAAACATACAACAATCGCATGTACAAAACCCCGACAAGCTACATAACCGAATAAACAGCTGGGTATCAAGTAATCAAACAAAGCAAGTAACAATAAAACAAAGGCACCAATCTGACATAAATATCTTAAAAAGATTGGTCTTCTCAAAATAGAAACCACAGGCTTAATTCCAAAATCCAACACTATGGCCATAGATAGCTCTAAAGGTACGGACTGGTAATACAGGACAGAGTTTTGGGATAAAATTCACCGACTAGCCACGCTCTATTTCTTCTTGTCACCAGCACCACCACCACCAGCAGACCTGCATATCAGGAGACAGCAATTTGTCATTTGTATACCAACTGTTACAGCAAAACAGAATTGCAACTATTTTTTCTTGAATGTAGAAGACATGAACATGGTCAGGCAAAAGAAAAACCTAAAGAACTACTCCCTCCATCGGGAAATACTTGGTCGGAGAAATGGATGTATTTAGATGTATTTTAATTCTAGATACATCCATTTTCATTCATTTATGTGACAAGTAATTCCAGACGGAGGGAGTACAAGCAATAGAAACATACTTATGGTGAAGATTGCACTATATATGCAACACCGAAAACACCATCATCTAAAGTGGAAACTGCTGTCTACAAACTACACTAGTTGACAGGGAGGAAAGCCACATCTATTTTTTTTTAAAGCTGGAAGAATTGGTGAGTGCATAGGCGTTCGCTTAAGCGTGCATAGGCGAATGCAACAACAGAACACCTAGGGCCTAGTCATGCTAAGCATGCCCCGGCACATACTACAAGGTAGGTACTAGGCAGAGACGAGATAGGTACTAAGGAGAGATTAAAAAAAGGAATTTAGACCTAGCACTTTATTTAAGCTCGGCTGGAAGCCAGCACAGCATTTCTTAATGTTAAGGAATTCTTTTTGTCTTCAATTCACTTATAAACCCAACAAATTCATAATTCTCCTAATGCTAGAGGATGCACTACGCAATGCTCTAGGTAACTAAGTAGTCCAGAGCAAAAAGGAAAACTGAATAATAGGACAGCAGAGTCAAATAATGTTCATAATATAAATGGTGAGTCGAGTGGTTACATACCTCATCTTCCTAAGGACACTTGACATCTCCTCTCTCTTCTTCTTTGCTCTCTTGTGAGTACCAAGCTTTCTCTTGGCGACCTTGAGTGCGCGCTTGTCCTTTCCAACCTTAAGAAGCTCAGTGATACGTTTCTCATAGGGAGCGAATCCAGCAACCTCCCTAATCAAGTTCCTGACAAAATGCACCCTCTTGGTACCTTTCTGCAAAATATGCCAAGATAACATTGTAAGGATGACTGCAAACTGGATAGAAATGTTATAATAATTCAGCTGAGCATATAGGAGCATGTAAGTTAACTTTGTTTCAGGTTCACACAAGTTATAATTCGGTAAAAAAAGCCAGCTAGAATAGCCGAATAACAATTTGGTCCCAAACACAGCAAGGTCCTATTTTACTTTCAACATGACTTGACAACAGTACTAAATAATATGCAAGGAAGGAAGGTAATCTCCATCTGCATTTGCTATTACTTCACTGCAGAATACAACAGAACCGTGTGGGTAATCAAGCCCAATACAGAATCCAGATTTACACATGAAAACAAGAGGCTATCAATGCTCCCAAGTTATGCAAGGCCATGGTTATGCATCAAAGTATTGAACAATAGGAGAATTAAGACTAATACTAGATGGCATTGAAAACTGCATTTACAACTAATTACAGATAGGGTCTGTCTAGGGCCTATCTAGATGTGCCCTAGTTATTGCACATCTAAGTGACTCGATCAAGTATAAAAAGAAAAGGAAAAAGTTAAAAGAATATACCCACATGAATCTCGGTGTAAGATCAATGACATAGGACTTAGATGTGCAATACTTATGGCAAATTTAGATGTGCTTTAGCAAAACTGTTACAGATATATATTGCAATATTCTTCAAAAAGATGTGTAGTACAGTCAGTGATACTTTAGAAATGAAATTATAAGGTACTTGATTGAGCGGTCACATTTCATCACCAACAACTATCAACCTCCAGGACTAACAACTTGGGACTTCTGAAGTATCAAAATTTCCAAACGTGTGTTCATGCATCATTACATCACTGCAGACACGAGGCTGCTCCCAATGTGTAGAATTTTTTTATCAGTTGGTCTCAATTCGGCGAGCTTCCATGCAATACAAGGTACACCTCACAGATATTTAACCCGACTACTTTTGCCCTTCAGCAGCATCAACCATACTATGCTACAGTACTCTCAACATCTAGCTCGACACCCTTTTTAGATCATAACTACAACAGTCAAGAAAATAATACTAAAACTAGTAGACTAAAACAACGGAACTACCGAGCAAACACATATCTAGAGAACGGTCAGAGGCCAGCACAGTCTAAAAGGGCAGATCAATCGCGCACTGAGAACATAGCAGAGGACGCGTATGGATCCTTATGAACATAGCAGAGGATATTGGAGGCTAGGGACGGCTTACCCCCTTGCGGTCGGACGGGCGTGGCGGCAGCTCGCGCTTGGTGACGACGTGGCCCTTGTTGATGCCCACGAAGAGCCCTGACTTGGGCTGCGACGGCGCCATGGCCGGACTCCCACTCGCTCCTGCTAACCTGCAACGGACGCACGCAAGGTTACGTACGAGCGATCTGAAGCAAGATTCATCATGGTATAGGCGGCGGCGCTGCTCGCAGGCTTACGTTGAGAATGGACGCAGGTGAAACCCTAATCCGCCGCCAGCGCCCGGGAAGAAACCCTAAGCTGCGTGAGGCGGGATCTTATATATGGCCAGAGCGTGAGATCTCTCCATGTTAGATTGATGGGCCTGTCTTACTGGGCTTATTTTGCTCACGGTATGGATCGCGATCCAACCGCATAGGCCCACTTTTGTGCGCGTGTAAGTTGTTAGTGCAAAATGCAGCATTTGATGCCAAAAAAAAAACGTACAGTGTTTGATTTGCTAAAAAAATGCAGTATTTCATCATTTGATCAACGTAAATGCTCTCCCTCCGTCCGAAAATACGTGTCCAAGTAATGGATGTATCTTTCATTTAGATACATCCATTACTTGGACAAGTATTTCCAAACGGAGGGAGTACTATGTCAGCTAGCAGCCAAAACGTCTATCACGCTTATCCCTAAGGTGAAGCATCCGCAGCAAATATCTCAGTACCGTCCAATCGCCCTTTGCCCTGTACCATACAAGATCGCATTCAAGATGGTGACAAACAGGCTGAAGGTGTGGATGAATGTGATAGTGGGAGAAGAACAAAGTGCCTTTGTACCCGGACGTAATATTACTGATAACGTTCTAGTGGCTTTTGAGAGTGTGCACACAATGAGAAGAAAAAAGAAGGGCAAAAACTACACGTGTGCGGTGAAGCTCGATATGATGAAAGCGTATGATCGTGTGGAATGGCATTACTTGGAAGCAGTGATGCAGCGACTTGGGTTCGGTCACAATTTTATTGAATTGATCATGACGTGTGTGACTTCGGTCAGATTCACGGTGAAGGTGAATGGGGAGCTCCTCCCGGTCTTCCACCCCTCGAGAGGACTAGGGCAGGGGGATCCAGCGTCACCCTTCCTTTTCTTGTTATGTGCGGAAGGACTAACCTCTCTATTGAACAATTATGGCTCTTTTATTGACACGGTGTGAGAGCCTCGGTTAGATCACCTTGGATCAATCATCTCCTCTTTGCCGACGATTGTCTTATTTTTATTGGTGCAAAGGGAGAAAGTGTGGACCGACTCAATGAGATATTGAACATTTATGCTATGTGCTCGGGGCAAAGTGTTAACAAAGAGAAGAGTGCAATCTATTTTACTCCGAACACTCTGGCGAAAAGGAGGCGGTTGAAGCTTTCAGTGACAGGTACCTTGGTTTACCAACGGCCGTCGGCAGGATTACTAGTGGCACGTTCGAGCACATCTGTGATCGGGCGAGGAGCAAGATGGTGGGATACTCAGAGAGAGATTTGGCGTGTGCGGGGCGAGAAATATTGCTGAAATCAATCATTCAAGCGATACCAACCTTCAATATGACTTGCTTCCGATTAACAAAAAAGGTGTGCAAGAAGATTACGTCTTGCATGGCCAGGCATTTCTGGAGTAGCAACATCGACAGGCGCTCGATGCATTGGCTTTCATGGAAGAAGCTAGCCACCCCGAAAGAAGATGGGGGATGGGGTTTCGGGATCTTGAGGCCTTTAACCTCGCTCTGTTGGGGAAACACGGCTGGAGGTTCATGTTATACCCGGAGAGTTTATGCTCTCGAGTTATGAAATCTAGATACTTCCCAGATTCAGACTTCATGAATGCTACAATCCCGAAGACGGCGTCACCTATCTGGAGGGCGATTGTTGCAGGTCGCAAGGCACTGAAGCTCGGTCTGATCAAGAGGGTGGGAGATGGCTCCACGATCTCCATTTGGGAGGATAAGTGGATCCCTGATACTATTTCGATGTCTCCTATGGTAAAACCTGATAACACACCTCTTGTTTTTATGAATGAGCTGATTGACCAGGTAAATTGGACATGGCAACATGAGCTTGTTCGTGCAACCTTCCTAGCACCGGATGCCCAAGCAATCTTAAATATCCCGCTGCGCAATGGTGGAGGAGAGGATTTTCTAGCATGGGCCTTTGAATCCACCGGAATCTACATTGTCAAATCAGCATACCGTACTCTTGTGACACAAAGAGCGACTAGCTCGAGAGGAAGGGACGGATATGGTACTTCACAGACTGAACGACAGCTATGGAATTCCTTATGGAAGTTAAAGGTTATACCTAAAGTGCGAGTTTTCTGGTGGCGGGTGTTGAAAGATTTTGCCAGTCGAAGAGACTCTAAAGCGCAGACATATCATACGATTGGATCGATGCAACGTATGCCTTGCTATGGGCGAAGATCTGATGCATGCATTGATACATTGTACACATGCCAAGCGCTTCTGGAATTAAGCAGAAGCGTTATTTGATTTTCATCTACCACGTCTGCACCCTGACACTTGGTCCAGGGATATCATATGTGACAGCAGGTTTGCAGAGGATGAAAGGGCAAAAATCATTACAGTTATGTGGGCTATCTGGCACCCGCGCAACAGATGGGTACATGATAAGGAGAGACTTGATCCTGGCAATGCAGTGAGAAAGATTAGAGAATTCCTTGCACTTCTGGAGCTACCCAGGAAGCAAGTTTCAGTTTTACCAGGCTATGGATGGCGGCCACCAAAGGATGATATTGTCAAGATTAATTGTGATGGAGCCATTGATCTTCTCTCTGGCAAGGGAGGAGCTGGTGGAGTGGCGCACTCGGCGTCTAGTCTATTGGGCACGTGGTGTAAGCCACATCTTGGGGTAACAGACCCATTGATCATGGAGGCACTAGCCCTCGGAGAAGGAGTCATTTTCGCCAATCTGTGAGGCCTAAAGCGAGTGAAGATGGAAACTGATTGCTTGGCTTTGCTGAATCTGTGGAATTCTCGTCATGCAAATCGTTCTGCTGTGGCACCTATTCTTGATGAAATTGGAGAGCTCTCTTTAGAATTTGATTACTTTGTAATTCAGCATGTATTAAGGATAGCCAACATGTCGGCCCATTTGTGTGCAAAACATGCTTGTACACTCTTGGTGACTGATAGTTGTCTGGACCAGACTCCCTCGTTCTTGGTTAGCAGCCTGTTGGCAGACTGCCCCAAGAATGCTTTTGTTGAATAAAAGCTCTCAGATATTTCCCTCAAAAAAAAGCCAAAACAATATTTACGTTTAGAGAAAGGAAGAAAATACAATATTTACCGCAAAAAGATACAATACACACGCCATAGTGAAAACAAAATGTCACACGAACCGATAACAAAATTGTTGCCTTTTTCCATATGGGTGCGCCTAAAACTTGGTCTACTCAGTCAATGTCGGTGTATTAAGGCCCTGTTTGGAGAATCTTCGCTCCACAACTCCACTCTGGTGCAGTTACTGTTGAAAATCATGGAGCTGTTGTGTCCCGGCTCCGCAGCTCCAGGGATTTTGCGGAGCCGGCGGAATTCCGAACAGGCTCTAAATTAGGGGTTCCTTAGTACCCTGGATTCATGCACAGGCAGTTGCAGCCCTCCGGACGGCAAGGGCTTGCCGAAGGATAACTCAACCCAATTTTCAACACTTGGACACCAAGACCGTGAAGAAGACATCCCGGCAGGTCATCGAGAAGTACTAAGCTAGTACTGAAAAACAAGACTCCAGTTGCCGGCAAGCATCGCACCGGCAAGACAAGACCCGGCAAGCTCCTTGCCAGGAATTTCTTCATCTTGACCTTCAGTCGCTCCACCTCATTGGCCAGCCGATGGCTTTGCAAGGTTAGGTGTCCAGCGGGCAGATGGCTTGAGGAGAGTCAACAGGGCACATGTCAGCACACTACATCAGGGTTAACTTTATTGACACCCATCTAGTGGGTGCGGCAAGAAGATAGAGCTCATCCAGCCCGATGGCGTAGGAGAGACGACACCTTGCCAAAGGATGGTTACCAGCTCACGATGCATTAAATGCCCTTGTCCTAGTCTGGTGGGATGGTTAGATAATGTCGAAGCCACTATTCATACATGTAGAATGACCATGCTGCCACTGCGATGACCCCTTTTCATCTATAAAAGGAGACCCAAGGCTACCTTGGCACGGGTCAACACATTGCACTCGCTTATATAGTAGCCGCACCTTGCACACGTTCTTCCTGCAAGCTGTACTTGTAACTTGTGCTCCTACTCAATCCACCAGAGAACAGGAGTAGGGTCTTACCCCCCACGACGGCCCGAACCTGAGAAACCCCCGCGCGTTGATTCTTGGATTTGCTCTCCGTGCTCGTCAATCTCCCAAGCGAACTACAAAGGGATCCTCGCCGGTCCCATAGATCGTCGTACTCTGACATCTTTGGCGCGCCAGGCAGGGGATCGCTTGTGCGGATCTACTCCAGCAGTCTTCGTGCAAGTTTCACTGTCTATGTCATCCATGGTGCCGAAGAAGAAGAGCACGACGGTGGGTGCATCGTCTGGCTCCAAGCTACCAGTCCAGACACCTTCGGAGGACGGGACCGACGGCGAGCGATGACCCACAAGTATAGGGGATCGCAACAGCTTTCGAGGATAGAATATTCAACCCAAATTTATTGATTCGACACAAGGGGAGCCAAAGAATATTCTCAAGTATTAGAAGTTGAGTTGTCAATTCAACCACACCTGGATAACTTAGTATCTGCAGCAAAGTATTTAGTAGTAAAGTAGTATGATAGTAACGGAAACAGTAGCAAAAGTAACGATAGTAGTTTTGTAGTAAGTGTAATAGTAGCAACAGAAAAGTATATAAGCGAAGCCCAATATGTGAAAAGCTCAGTCATGGATAATTATGTCGGATGTGATTCCTCATGTAATAGCTATAACATAGGGTGACACAGAACTAGCTCCAGTTCATCAATGTAATGTAGGCATCTATTCCGAATATAGTAATACGTGCTTATGGAAAAGAACTTGCATGACATCTTTTGTCCTACCCTCCCGTGGCAGCGGGGTCCTAGTGGAAACTAAGGGATATTAAGGCCTCC